GATTTTGCCTCTGAGTCTGAATACATTTGGAGTAATATTCATGATCCAGAGAAAAAAATGACTAGTCATGGCCATCACATTTCTCTCAAAATGCTGCCAACATAGACTTGGAATACTGTTTGACTTGCAATGAGGAAAGAAATTCCACAGGAAGGGTTTCTGTCCTTCTGCAGCCCATCGTTGTCGGACCCAAGGTGAGTGTGTGCTTGTAGTCTTTGTGATGATGCTGGAGGACAAGTAATGAGAATGTTTTCTACTGGTTCTTTTAGTGTTGTTTCTTTGTCCCATGAAAAGGAGTTGCTCACTGACATAGGAATATTCTTTTGATTTGCTTCGTATTGTAATATGTGGCAGATTTTCTTTGTGTCTAGAATAAACCGCTTTAGAGTACTTTCAATCTAATAAACTTTCCTTCTTTTTGTGATTCATTTTGGCCACGATAAACTTGTATTTATTTTTTTCAAATTTCCCTGAAGTCTTAATTTTGAACTTAGATTTTTTAAAAAAAATTTTTTTAAAAATGCTTTTATACAATGATTCGAGAAATTTTTTAGACATCTGCTTCCTAAAAGAGTAGAACATCCTGCCACTGCTCTTAGAGACAACAATTTTCTTCAGGGGAGAATAGAGTCTTTTCCAGCTTGAAGGAGTAAATCTTGAATGATCTAAGCTTGTGCTTTTCAAAATGTGATGTGAGTTACCCATTTATGTTTTGTGAAGTCAACTTAGTAAGTTGGCTAATTAGCCTTTGAAAAACATGAAATTGAATAAAGTATAATAGGATGTCTCACATAAATCCTTATCAATAACCGTACAAAACACAGAAATATTGCAATCAAGTTCAACTAACAGAAAGAAAGAGAGATAATTTGGATTCCATAAACCTGAGTCTTCTAGCATATAGCAGAATATCTAGATCTAATTTATATATCTCTCTATATATGAGTGTAATATTAAAAGATACTTCTTGTCAGGCTTACTGGTTACACTCATGTAATCCCAGAGATTCTGGAGGCTGAGGAAGGAGGATCATAAGTTAGATGACAGTCTCAGAAATATAGCAAGACCTTGTTTCAAAATAAGAAATAAAAGGGCCAGGGCTGTAGCACAGTGGTAGAGCACTCACTTAGCACATGTGAGGTATTGTGCTGAAAGCCATAGCCAAGAGGAAGGACGCATGGCCTCTTGGGTTGAAAAGTGAGGCCAGCAAGCCACTGAGATGATACTGATTATGTTAAGATGTGCATTCAATTGGAGATTAGACCCCTGCTGTCTGCCTGGGGGGGTGGGGCCTGCTACTTTGGAGCTCTC